TTACACCAGTTACAGTGTTACAATGTTGTGTGTTTTCCTGTGTACTTACTATTACTAGTGAGTTTTGTACCTTCAGGTGATTACTTACTGCAATTCTTTCTTCTCCTTGATCAAGTCTGCTATTAAAAGGCTGATACATTCTTCTGTGTATAAATTTCATTTTTTCAGCTGCAGAATTTCTGCTTGATTCTTTTTAATTGTTTCAATCTGTTTGTTAAATGCATCTGATAGATTTCTGAATTCCTTTTCTGTGTTATCTTGAATGTCTTTAAGTTTACTCAAAATGGCCATTTTGAATTCTCTGTCTGTGAGGTCACATACCTCTGCTTCTTCAGGATTGAACCCCAGTGCCTTATTAAGTTCATTTGGCGAGGTCATGTTTTCCTCACCAAAACATGTTTGTCTTTATACCTGGAGAAGTTCATCTGTTTCAGGTCACTGAAGTTAAGTACTAATTATAGTCTTCATGGTCTAGGCTTGTTTGTACCCATCCTTTTTTGGCAAATTTTTCCAGATATTCAAAAGAACTTTAGTGTTGTGATCTACACTGTATCTGCTTTAGGGGGCACCCCAAGGCCAATAACACTGTGGTTCTTGCAGACTTGCAGAGGTACCACTTTGATTATCTTGAACAAGATCCAAGAGAATTCTCTGGATTACCAGGCAGAGACTCTTGTTCTTTTCTCTTACTTTCTCCCCCAAAAATGGAGTCTCACTCTGTTCTGAGCTACCTGAAGCTGGGGGTACTGTGACACAAACATCTCTGTGGCCATCAGCGCAATGACTGCACTGAGCCAGACCTTAAGACAGCACAGCACTGGGTCTTGCCCAAGGCCTGCTATAGCCACTCCCTGGCTACTGTCTATGTTCGCTCAATACCCTAGGGCTTTACAATCAGCAGGTGGCAAATCTAGCCAAGCCTGTGTCCTTCCCTTCAGGGTAGCGAGATTACCCATGTTCCAGGCAGGTCCAGAAGTGCTTTCCAGCAGCCAGGGACTAGAGTCAAAAGCCTTAGATGTCTAGATAGTGTTCTATTATACTGTGGCTGAGCTGGCACTCAAACCACAAGACATAGTCCTTCCCTCTCTTCCAAAAGCAGAGGAGTCTCACTCATGGCCACTGCCACCACAGGCCCATGGGAAGTACTGCCAGAATATGGCTAATGTTTCCTTAAGACTCAAGGCTCTTGAGTCAGTTTGTGGCGAATTCTGTCTGGCCTGGGACTCACCCTTCAAGGCTGTGGGCTCCACTGTGGCCCAGGTCAGGTCCAGAAATGCCATCCAAGAACCAAGTCCTGGAATCAGGCATCCCAAGAGCCCACATGGTGCTCTACCCCACTGTAGCCAACCTAGTACCTAAGGTACAAGACAAAGTCTCCTTTACTTTTCCCTCTGCTTTTCTCAAGTATTCTTGCCCCATAGCCACCACAGCTGGGAATGTGCTGAATCTGAACTGAACTCACCAAGTCTCAGAGTCTCACCCAAGGCCCTTGACATAGTACCTGGGTACCACTGCTGGTTATTCAGGGCCTAAGCACTCTTCAGTTAGCAGGTGATGAATGCAGTCAGGACTGCGTCCTTCTCTTCAAGGCAGTAAATTCCCTCTGGACCAGGGCATGTCTAGAAGTGTCATCTGGGAACTAGGGCCTGGAAAGTAGGCCTGGCAATTCTGACAAGTGCCCTATCTTGCTATAATTGAGCTGAGATCCAAGATGCAAGACAAAGTCCTCCCCCAACTTCCCTATCCTCTACTCAAGCAGAAGGAAGGTGTCTCTTTGGGAGCCATAATCTGTGCAGCCTGAGGTTAGCGTAGGGATGATGCCAGCACTCTTTTAGCTGCCCCGGCTGATGTGTCAGAGGTCACATGCCCCCAATATACTCTATTAAGATGAAGCATCATGATCTCTAGAGGTGCCTGTTCCCATAACTGCTATTCTTTAATCCACTTGCCCTCAACTGTCTACCATCCTCTGGCTCCCCATCCTTCAAATCCTAAATAACACATCTAGCTTAAATAACAATTACTCACTTAAAAGTGGGAAAATGTGGTCATTATATAGGGAGGGTAGCACCAAAATCTGCATCAGTCAAGGTTCTCCAGAGAAAGAGAACCAATAGGATATATACGTATGTATGTACGTATGTATGTATGTATGTATGTATGTATGTATGTATCTAGATACTTAAAGAGATTTGTTATAGAAATTGGCTCATGCAGTTTTGGAGGGTGAGAAGTCTCACAATATGCCACCTTCAAACTGGAGACCCAAGAAAGCTGGTGGTGTAATTCAACCCAAGGCCAAAGGCCTGAGAACCAGGTGGGAAATGCTGCTGGTTTAAAAATCCAGGAGTCTGAAGACCTGAGGTCTAGGAGCTCTGATGTCTGAGGGCAGAAGAGGGATGTCCCAGCTCTAGAAGAGTGGAGTCTGAACTGTGGCCCTCAAAGACCCACTGGAGGGCAGACACTGGCAGGCTGTGGGAGAAGCTGAGGCTAGGGTGAGTGAAACTCCACAGGTGACCTTGGACAAGTGCTTAACCTTTTGGTGCCTCTGTATGTACATCTGCAAAGTGAAGTGGTAAGCTATGTGAGCTCCAGTGTTCCTCATGCATTCTAGAATTGCAGCGCTTTTTGAGGGATTATAAGAGAAAGAAGCAGTTACAAAAACATAATTTTAAAATGCTAGAAATCTTTGGTATTCAAAGCCAAGGAATTGGCCAGGGAGTTATGAAAAAAAAAATTAGGATTATGACTAAGATGGAACCAGGCAGCACCCCAGATGTTTGTGGTAAAGGAAGTCTCAGTCCTCACATCAGAGGCACACTTTTCACTGTATGCCTTTACATTTGATGAAACATGGTTGCATGGAACAATAGCTTGCAGACTGGGAGGCACTTGAACATAATAGTGTTTCATTTGATCTTCACACACTCTTAGGAGTCAGAACACATTGTTTCTACTCTCTCCATTTTACGAACAAGGAAAATAAATTTCCAAGTAGTTAAGGTCACAGCTGAGTATTGCTCTCTGTTCTTATGGATCTCTGTACCCTTCATAGAGAATGGGGTCAGTGGGGTCTTATCCTTGAGCAGCCATGTCAGATGTGGGAGCCCTGAGCATGGATCATTAGGGACTTATAGAACACACAGTGTCCTCACTAGGCTGGGGCATGAATTGTGGTTGTAGGTGCCATAGTTGGCCTGCTCTGGAGAGGGCTTCCTTTATCACCACCAAAGAGATATCACTGAAGATCTGGGGGTAGCTTGGCTGGTCTGTGTGCTGACTCTGCTGGAGCTGTCTCCTAATCAGGTCACTGCTAGAGTTGCTCTTCCTAAATGTTCCAGTGCCATGACTTTGGTTCTCTGGCTTGGGGGATTGAATCAATCAGAGTCCAGAATCTACAAGAACTCCTGCTTCTCTGTTGTATGCTGCTATGTGAAGCTCAATGCAATAGTACCAGTTTTGTTGCTGTTTAGATTTTTTTTGTTCCCGACAGATTATTGTTCCAAAAATAAACCTGTGATATATTCTTATACATTTGAATTTAATTAAGAACCTTTTTCTCTCTTACATAAATATGGTTTCACTGTTTCCAGCCAGGCCAAAAACACATGCCTGAAGACAGACTTCTAAATGATATGGTGTGCCAATTTCTCTGATCTTTTTAATGCTGTAACTAAGGGGCCCTGCTCTGAGATGATGATTTATAATTTTGACATGCTGTCCTGTACCACTTTCTGATCACCAGGGAATACACAGAAATTCACCGAAGCAACTGCTCTCGGGAGTCAAAGTGGAGCCACATTGTCCCTTCTAACCTCACAAGGATTCTTATGTGATTCAGAATGATCACATTTTCAGTATTCTGAGGACTGTCTCCGTATGACTCCAGCCATACTTAAGCATTCCATGACTTGGGGGAGTTTGGAGCGGGATTAAATCTTTCATACCATGCCCATTACTGATGTATTTGACCTGCTGAGCCTCCAACAGCATTGCGGACTCCACTTTTTCTGTTCCAACAAGACTAACACAGAAGCTAATGTGCTATTTTGCCCTGCCATTTCTCTGCTTAGCAACAACTCACCCTTGGAACTGCTGTTCCCTAAAGAACAGGAGAAGATTCAGGAATGCTAATAATAGTTACCTGCATATCCCATGCCCTTTGCCCCTGACCATTGTAACAGCCTCACCACTTGGGTCAGTAAGAGCCCACACTTGCTCAGTACATCTTGATGCTCACTTCAGCTGTGGGCTTGGGTTTAACATCCAGCCCAGGGGATGCCTTTTTGATGCATGTCATAATCAGAAGAAGAATGCCTCTCTTTGGATTCTGGAACTGACTCCATTTGTAGTGAAAAGTTTGGGGAGCATCAATAATGGGATGGCAGCATTCATTCATTCATTTATGCCTCCAACTGGTACTTCCTCACACAGTGATTAAGTGCTCAATATGTGCCCTGCGCTAAGCTGAGTACTGGGCATTCAATGTGAACAAAGAAGGCATGGTCCTAAGGAGGAGTTCCTCTTTCAACAGAGTAGCCCAAGGAATGTCAACCACTTTTGCTGCAGGTGTGTTAGTTACTGCCAAGAGTCTGCAAGTGTTCATGGGCCTCATTAAGCTCTGCCTTCCTTCTGCTTTTTGGAGTCTGGCCTTTGGTTGGCCTTGAATGAGGAGTGGGGCCCTCAAAGTATCACTGTCTGCACTCTCCAGATGAGTACTACCCTGGGAGGAGCCACGGCATGAGGAGGGCCAGGGCGTGGGGCCTTCTGAAGGCTGTGTCATCCCAGGCTTCAGCCACAGAGGTTTTATTACGGAGGAAAGCTGAGCTGTGAGCACGTTGCTAGGCTGTGGCTATTTATTTTTATAAACGAGCCTTGTGCTTAATTTAGAAACCTGCTTTTTCTTTTTCTTTCTTCTTTCCAGCATCATCTGGTTGTCTGGCACCATCAAAGAATTGCATTTCTGACCCAACAAGAGCTTGTGGGTAGTTGGGGGTGGGATGGAGGCTGGGGAGAGGATTGATGCCAGCCAGCTGCCTCACGGGGTGCTGGAAACACGTGGCCATGCCATTAGCATCCTATTCGGCTTCTGGATGAGTTTCAGCTGCGACACCTACCTAGTCCTCACTTGGATCAGCAGGGTAAAAGGCAGCTCTGGTGTTAGTGCCTCCTCTGATGAGCCACATGCCAGAATCCAGCAGAGCAAATGGCAAGGCCATGCAGAAGAGGACCAAAGTCAGGTGCCAGAAGCAGGTGACATCTCCACTCTCAGTTCTTTGGAGGCAGCTATTTTAATAGAGCCACTTTACTGCAGCTATTTTGACATGAAGATATTTTGGTATGGCTCGAAAATTCAGCTGATAAATGTTCGGTTTTTAAAAAAATAACTGATGAGTAGAATAGGCATCTCGCAGGCCATCTGTGAGCTTTGCCTCAACCTTGATCTTCACCCCATTGTCAATCTAACCTCCAGGTATCAAGGTATATGGATTGAGAACAGATGAGGGAAAGGATCGGTAGAGGTTCAAAATGAGAGAAATAGCATGTCAGGACCCCAGGAGAGTTGAGGCGCTTTTAAAACAAAACAAAACAAAACAAAAATACCACGGTCAACCAAATTCAGAAATGGGACAGAAGTCAGAGATGGGAAATTGGTTATAAACCAAATACAGTGAGTCTGAATTTTGGCTTGCTTGTTTGAGGCAGCTGTATCAAAACAGTTGTGTTGGAAGAGCTGCATGAAATTGTTGGGCAAGAAATAGTCCACTTAGGATTCAGATGAGCTCATTTTGCCTCTTCCATGGTCAATGTCTGACTCATAAATGTCTATACATTTATGGCTTGTGTGAGCCTCAGTTTCCCCACATAAAATACAGATGATGATGTTGGCCCTTCCTCTTTCCCACTTTTTGCTCTCCCTCCAAGTAACATGATGAGGAATGAGCCAGCATCTTGTAAACTGCTCCAGGCCACCTGGAGAAATGTGCTTGCGTAATAGTCAGCGTTAGTATACGTGAGTCTTCTATGAGTAAAGAATTTTAGAGTTGGCAGCCATTTCTGCCTGGTGACTCATGTGGGCACAATGATGCCCTTAGCTGCAATGTATGGTGTGGGTGAATTTGTTCTTGTCACGGCAGAGGACTGAGTATTCTTTATCCGAATGCTATAGACTGAGTTTGCACATGGGAACTAGATTAGCTCTGAAGAGAGTTGAAAGGAACCTGACATTTTTGCCTGCAATCTAGAGTTTCATTGTACAAACAACCACAGTGGCACATTTGTGCCCAATCATTGGCTTCCCTTTGCCAGCAAAGAAAATCTCCTAAATTCTTCTGCCATTTGTCAAACCTGCCAAAGTCCCTAGAGGCAGTTCTGGTATAACTAAAGGTGGAGGGAAGAGAATATTCTCTCTACCAGGTTTCACTACTTCCAGTGATGGTTGTTCACAAGGGGACAGCTTCTGCATCACAGGATGAAGCTTCAGGGATTCAGATGTCCTTCCAGTATTAGGGCAAGGAGGTAGCAGGCACCAGGCCCCAGCTTCCAGAATCCTGTCCTGCAGCCTCCCGGTGCTGGGCAGTGGCCTTCCTTTGAGCCTTCAGGGTGGAAACAAAGGACACATGTGTCTCTGCAGCACTTCCGGCTTTTGCTCATTCCTATTTTCAGAGCCAAAGCACCATCTCCTCTGGTACGGTTAATCTTTGTTCCTGCCACTGACCCATTCGTCTTTATTACTTCTCACCAAGTCCCTGCCTTCAGATTTCTTAGGGATTTCTTTCTCAGGTATTATGTTTTGATTCCCTCCACACATTTATTTCCAAGTGCCAAGAACAACTCTGTTCCGGCAGGAGGATATTATGTGGCTTAAAAGAAAGATTGAGCAGTGGCTTCTCTCCATCAGCATTCTTTAGGTTTACGTGGGAATTCACTCTGGGAATAGTTTAGAGTCTCCTTCAAGCCTCTCCCAGGCTGACAAAGTTTCAGTCCCAGAGAATTACTTTGCTTCCATTGTTTCTAAATAAATGATAAAAGCCTTTCTTTCTGAGCCTGTATAGAAGGGCTCACACCCCTCCCCCCACTATTACTTCCCTAAGATCTTGGCTGGGCCCACAGTGAATACACACTGGGTATTGTTACCATTGTTATAGACTTCAGCATCAACTCCAATATTTGATGGTCTAATAAACCTTGAGTCCTCTTTCAGAATTGTTAGTTTTTCCAACCTTTGGGAACCATGCTCACCCTTTAGGGCAGCTCTTCCTAAGTGACTGAAAAGCACTCCCTGGTTGAGATGGAGGAGGCAGATCCAGCCAACAATGGCTTCTCTGTTGACATCACACAGGCCTTAATGACCCATACTAAGCACAACAACTGGTGCCCTCATTGGTGCCTATTAATATTTTGGGTAAGTTTTGTTGCCCCATCCACCACTCTGTATAGTGATTCTGGAATTTGCTATTTGATACAGAGCAAATGAAGAGATGGAAGGGGCTGGTCGCCACTCAGGCTGCAAGCAAGCCCGTCATGCCCGTCTCCCAAGAGGACTCCTTGTGTGCCTTCAAAATATCCTGATCCTTGACTTGATCTGCTTGGAATGAGTGCAAACAATGGTCCAGTTTCCTTTAGACCAGAGGACATTCTGTGCTCCCAGAACAGAATGCTACACATGGGAACGAGGTAAAGGGAGGCTTTGAGAGGTCAGCCAACAAAGCCCCTGCTTCAAGCCTAAAACCAATGTAATTAGGCTAAGATTGAACAGGATAAGGCTTTGCAAGGAATATCTTGGCATGTGAGGATTATCCCAGGTATATGAATTGGCTGCTTTTGAGTCTTCCTACGACTCTTGGAGGTAAAAAGAGCAGGTGTTATTACTCTAGTTCTACAAGTGGAGAAACTAAGTTCTAGAAGTCAACTAAAGAAGTTATCTAAATTACTGGCAGATGGGACGCAAGAAACCTCAAATTCCTGACCTCTGTTCCAGTTTTTCCCATCACCCCATGTTGCCCTTCAGCGAGGCTTAAGCAAAACAGCCAACACAAGTCCTAGCCTTTCCAGCTGGGCAGAAGTTGGAAACTGGCATGGATTTCCATTGGGTGGCTGGGGCCTGGGGGGCTACAGATATTTCTTCTGCTTGCTTATCATGGCTCAGGAGGGCTGAGACTATTTGGAGACTCAGTTTTTACATGGTCATGGTAAAGGGAGTACAAATGAGAAAAAGGTACAGCAATATGCATTTGTGTGTGTGTGTGTGTGTGCGTGCGTGTGTGTGTGCATGCACTTGCGTGCACATGTCTGGGCACACAGGTGAGAAGACATTACTGTCAAGATGGCTATTGCAGGTGAATGGAGCAGATTCCCTTGCAGGCTATTTGCAGCTTCATGGACACACTGGCTTCTTACCTAAAGCTTCTGCATCTCTGCCTGATGGCTTTTTCTGGCCACAGAAATTTGCTAAGCCCTTGCTTGGGGCAGCCCAGAAGAGCATCACAGTTAAAGGTGCCTGAAGCAACCCTTAACCAATGAAGGATGAAGCCTGTTTAAAAAAAAAAAAAAAAAAAAAAAAAAAGAGTTTCTGTTTTTTTTTTTTTTTTTTTTCCCTCTGCCAACAGGAAAATCAAGGTGTTTTCCACTGAGCCTTTGAGAGGGACTCCAGGGGAAGTATAACCCAAGTGCTCTCTGTAGCATCCTGCTCATGAACACCCCCTTTATCAGCTAACCTGCCTCTCTCTATATTTGTTTCTTATCCTTGCCACCCTACTGCAGGTGTCCTCCTGGAGATGAGATTCTCCAGGAGGACACCTGCAGTAGGGTGGCAAGGATAAGAAACAAAGAATAAAGATGGGTGCACACCTGTGGTCTCAACTGGGGAGGCTGAGGTGGGAGGATCACTTGAGCCCAGGAGTTTGAGGCTGCAGCAAGCTAAGATAACACGACTGCACTGCAGCTTGGGTGACAGAGACCCCATCTCAAATAAATGAGAAACAGTGAATGGAATTAAAACAGTGAATGTTCATTAAAAATAATACCAAATTGAAGCAAGCTTGGAGTTTTCTTGTTGAGCACATGGGCTTCTGAGCAGGTACAGCCTCAGCAACTCCTCATTACCTTTCACTAGGCAAGCCACACCTGTAAGAGCTCACTTTGACCAGGCATGCCTGAATTGACTTACTGTCTAAATTTCTCTTAGCACTGCAGCAGGAGAGTTCTCTGCAGCATAGGAAGGTAGCATCAGAACTCCCTGGAGTAGGATCAGGTTCCTGGATGCTGCATTCCTATCAGTTCTTCTATGTTCCAGCAGACAGCAGATTTGACTTGTAACCAAGCAGACACGTGAAAGTAAATGCACACTCCTAGCGTTTTGAAACCTGCCTCCCACAAAACAGAAGGCACTCTTCCCCTTGCCTTATTCTCTGCCTTGCTCTTGACATTTTTACAGCCGACTTTGCATTTCCGACACTTCCCACTTGAATTAGCTTCTGGTCTCTCCTGGCCTGAGAATCCTAGTCACATGACCCATCCCAGAGCACACTCTCAGCTCTTTTTACAGCCAGGTCACACTTCTCCTTGCTTTGACATTTAGGGCCTGCCATTTCTTTTCCTCTTCTGTTCCAATAAATCAGGACCAGTTAATATTCACTGCCCCCTGGGTGGTGCTTGGGGAAGCTGATGCTAGGCTGAGGAGGCTTTTGTGTGCGCAAGGAGGTGAAAAGCAAGAGTTGCCTTTCTGCTCCCATTCTGCAGCTTTGTGACAGTGGAAATGAAACTCTGGGCGGAAGCCCAGACTCCATGTCCAGGTGTCTTGTCTGACTTGTACAAAGCTGAGTGCTCAAACCGGACAAAGCAACAATGGTTCATTCCTGGGTTCTGTCCTGTTTATGGCCCAGATCTGTACTGCTGGCTTAGCTTGTTCACCTCAGAAGGTCTGATGTGGAATGGAATGATCAGCAGCCTGAGGACACAGAGGCTGTGCCAGTTCTGACCCTCCTTACCACCCATACTACATGCTGGAATGTGGGTTTAATCCAGCCTAGAAGCAAAGGGAAAGCAAACCTCTCAAATGCCGAGTGGTGGGTGCTAAGCAATATCCTTCAAGGGCATGATAAAGTCATCAGAAATAGAGAAAGCAGAAAGCAAGGGAAGATAGGAAATGGGAGTCAGCAAAATGAGAAAAGAGGAAAATGAATACACGAAGTGATCATTATGCAGAGGAGTAGCTGGCTGCCACTTACAACTCTTTGAGTGACACTGATGCCATTTGTCATCCATCCCTGTTTCAAAGTCGGGTCAGGAGCTAGGGGATGCATGTGCTCACTCCAGAAAAGACACACAGCTCAGATTTTCAAACCATGCTGCCTCCCATGGTTCACTAGATTAGAATTCAGCACAACTCTGCTTGCTCAACTGTGAGAGGTCTTAACCAAAGGGTTTGAAGATGCTTTATAAAAACTATATCACGTGTGCAAATGTAAGATGATATATTTTTCCTCCTGTTCATCACAAGACTTGAATACACACTATCAGCACAACCCCCAAAGGTAATTTTAAGATGCAGGTTTAGACGATTCTTACCGAAAGAGACTATGACACGTAGGCTGAGCATAATGTCTCTCATATAACAGGTGCTCAATAAATGTCTGAAACTGAGTTAATGAATAATTGAAAATGAGAGACAGATCAAGAAGAATAATTTAGCAAGAAGATACTTGAGTATTCAACACAGATACTTTTCAGAACATCTGACTGTTTTTGTTCTGGGCCTCATGGATTTAAGGATGAGTGAGCTTTCCAAGTGCACACTCATGGGCTGGCCTGTGATCACATACACATGCGCCAGGGTGCTAAGTTCAAGGAAGATTTGGACAAGGCACAGTAATGGCAGAGGTTGAATCTGGCCAGGAGATTCTGGTGAGGTCTCTAGAAAAACAGGTTCCAAAGCTGCTGAGGTCTCACCAAGCAGATCAAGCCGTAGAAAACAAACATAAAGACAGCAAAGGTATGAAATAGCTTATTGTGTCAGAGAGGTACAATAGTACGGCTGGGTCACATCAGATGGGTGTGTGTGTGTGTGTGTGTGTGTGTGTCTGTGTGTGTGTGTTGGAGGGTGGGCCAATCACTGGCTTTTTTGTTTACTATAGGTTTTTTAGTGCCTTCTATATGACCAAACACTGGCAGCAGTGGGTTCACTTATTTAGCTCCTCCGGGGAAGCTGAAATCTCATGTGTAAGCTATTGCCTTGTCATGAGGGAGTGTGTGAGTACACCCATTTCTAAGGCCTCATGGTTTACAGTAGAAGAGACTGATCTTTTATCTTCCAATTATCTCATGGTGCTTATCTGGTTTCTAGTCTGTATTTCACTCTGCTGTGAACTAACTTAGGGCAAAACCTTCCTGTTTTTTGAGCACAGTGAGCACAAAAGGGTTTTACTGAATGGATGAATGCATGGATGGATGAGGGCTGGACAGACAGGTGGCTGTTCAGAATCCTACAAAAGCCCTTAAGCTCTGCTGTTCTCTCCTAGGTCAGCAAAATTCATTTTTTTAAAACATGAATACTCTTTGTTTATTACTAGCAGTGCAAGTCTCCCCACAAGGTTCAGAGCCCAGAAGAAATCAGCATGGAATAAAAAGAGTCAAGGTTGGAGCCCCCAAATAACTTAGCAAGAATGCCAGGTAAGGGCTGTATAGGAGGGTGGCCAGCACAGACCCTGAGGCCTGGAAGGGAAGGAAAGGGTTTGGAGGCTTTGCAGACCCTCAGACTCGCAGGCCCCCCAGCAGTATGGGCAGAAACAAGTCCCAATGCTGGAATATTGTGCACATATCTGCTGCAGAATGCCTTGGGAGCCAAAGGATTTGATGAAGCTCAAATCAGAGTAGATAGAAGGCAATTATGTTTCTGCATCCTTGGCTCCTGCCACCCTGAAGCTCTCTGGGGATGCACTTGTGGCATTTGGGTGTTTTTCTCACAAAGGCCTGGAGAGAGAAAAACAGCCACTCACCATCTAATAAATTATCTATCATGTCACCGCTTCTGCTTGCCTCGTTCTGACACTTCTCCCCTTCTGATTGTAGACAATAATTACCCTCTAATTGCTTAGATAATCTTGCTTATGGAGCTACAGCAGCAATGAAAAGCTGTCGTTTGTTATAGCTCCTTCTGAATGTTGATTTAAGCTGAATTACAACTCAGTTCGACCTGAAGAGCAATGCCCACTCAAATGAGGCAAGATCTTTGGAGGCCTGGAACTGGGTGCCAGCGCATGTTTCTT